AGCAGAATAAAACCCTCAGTCTCCAAACTCCTAGGCTGATACTTTTCCCTCCACACTTCACTGAAGTGAGTGTTTATGTGTATGTTTCAAAACCACATTTTGAACAGGTTTCTCCTGCCCTTGTAGGCAGAAGCACATTTCTCTTTTACTAGCATCCCTGGGCTCTAGTCTAGACCCATTCCCAGTCAGATTGAGGAAGAGACAAGGAGCCCCTTTTCAAGCTGCACAAAGAGGTAGAGGCCCTAACATGTCATGCTTCCTGGAATAGGAGTCCCTGAAACTTCTCTGCCCTCCCAAAGATCCACTTGCCTCAGCGTCTCTACAGCCTCATCCACGTCCCAGGAACTTTGAGGATATAGAAGACCTGCTGCTACTCAAAGCTTTAATAAATGTTAGTTGCTGGCCATATCAGTAGTTCTGGCTGAGAGAGTTGAGAAACACTAAAAGAAAGGGAGTCCTGAAGAGGAGTCCCATAAAGAAGAGGATGGCCCTACTGCACTGGCAAGCGGATCACTGAGACTTACTTAATAGTTGGTGTAGCAGAGGGTGAGGATGAGGAAGGCTGAGTATCCTCTCTCACCGCTCGCAGATATGATCACATCCTTGCGAAATTCTTGACATGGTCTGCAAGATCCTGCATGATCTGGCCCCTGCCCACCTCTCCACCCTCATCTCCCACTACTCTCCCCTTGACTAGTTAGTCCCTGCAACATGGTCTTTCAAATCTCATGAGCGTTTTCAGCTCTAAACTACGTTAGGGCTGGTCTTGATGTAGAACACTCCCCTCCCTGATCCACCCTCAATCTTTGCCTAATTTTTTTCTGATCCTTTAGTTCTCAGCTTAAGAGTTACTTTCTCAGAAGATCTTGACTCTCCAGTCTAAAATTAGGTTTCTCTCTTTTTTACTTTCTTAATAGCACTTGCAGCGGCCTTATGTTACTCTTATCTGTCCACCATTCCTTCCTTTATGGAACTTCTACTTTAAACAACTGTGGTGGGACTATAGGTTACAATACTTGCCTCCCCCAGCCACTGGGACAGGCATGTGACTCACAGGTAGCCAATCACAGTCTTCCCTGAGATTGACATAAGGTAGTTGGGAGCAAGAATCCTCTTTTTGCAGAAGTTGGAAGATATGAATCTGGAGCTGCCATCATCCATCTTACTCCCCATTCAGAGTCTGACTATAGAAAGAGGCTGAAGGCATACACAAAGCTAAGAAATAGTGCAATTAAGTTGCACTCATAAGCTAATAAATTCTATTTTTTAAAATTAAAGCTTGTTTAATTTGGGATTTTATCACTTGCCATAATGAGAGTCCTAAGTCAAATAGAACTTACCACAATTTTTAACAGGTTTATTGAGATATAATTCACATACCATACAATTCACCCATTTACACAATTTTTAATTATATATTTATTTGTATAATTATTTGTTTAGTGTCTCTTTCCCCCATTAGTTCCGTGACAGTAAGAATCACAGCTAAGTGCCAAGATAAAACCTGGCTCAGAGTATGTGCTCAATAAATATTTTTCAATAAACAAATGTACAAGTGAATGAGTATCTATCCTGTGCTGGGTGGCTGGGATAATGAAAAAAATTTTAGACGTAACCCCTGCTACTGCTGAGGTCTACCAAGAGAGACAGACATGTAAATAGGCAAGTTCTGGTAAGCAGTAGAGGAAAGCTCAGGCAGTTGTGTAGGACTGAGATGGGTTACCTTGACCTACCCAAATCTAACCAATTCATTTAAGTACCTTCCTAAACCCTGTAGTAAGAATTAATCTCACTTCCATCTGTTTTCCTACATAAATTAGATAGATCTTTATTGGCTCTACCACTTCCTAATTGTGTAATCTTGAGCAAGAACCTAATTTTTCAGAGTATTGAATATGACCTACCTTGAAGACTTATAGTGAGAATTAAATGAGATAATTAACGCAAAGCATTTCATATAATGCCAGCCGTTATTACGATATTTGCTGTATAGTGAGGTTAAATGGTTAGAAGCACAGGCTCTGGAGCCAGACTACTGCTTGAATTCAAATTCTGACTCTACTTGTTACTAGCTGTATGACCTTAAGCAAGTTACTCAACTTCTCTGTGCCTCAGTTTTCTCATCTGTTAAAAGAACAACTTGGATATAAGAAAAGTACCTATCTCAGAGGGTTCTAGGGGGATTAAGTTAAATGAGTAATACTTTAAACACTTAGAATAGGGCCCGGCACATGGTAAACACCTAATAAATGTTTAACTAACACACCTTTTTAAAATGCTAGTCATAAGGGTCTGGCATGCTGGCTATATTTTTTCCGAATATAAAATTAACTCACCTTTTAAAAACTTAGTCTTGTTTAACATTAAGGGCTTGACATGCTGATTATATATTTTTTCTAATACACACCAAAATATATACATAAAATCATCTTGCACACCTCCAGTGACATGAGTCTCCTGCCTGGAGAAGCACTACTCTAGACTCACACAATCCAATGATTTATGATTCCCTAAACACAGAGTGCTGTTCCTTGCCTTTGCCAGTGTTATTCCCCCGCCTGGAACGTCCTTGCCTTTCTTTCTCACTTGGCTGCTCCTACTTGTCTTCAAGACTCAGAGTGGGCATCATGTTCTCTGACCCCAACTGAATAGGTGCCTCCTCTGTGCTCCCACAACCCCGGCACATCCCTCTATCACAGCACTGATCACCAGGTGGATCCCTATTTCTGTCTCAGACCAGGGAACATAGCCTATTTCACAGCACAGTACTTGGCATGGAGTAGGAGCTCAGGAAGTCGTAATTAGAACAAAGTAAAATGACGTAGCCAAATACTTGACTCCATAAAATTTTAATCCAAACATAGTCTTGCAGTGTTTACTCACTGCCAGGCCATTTGCCAGGCATGGTGGGTATAAAGATAAACAAGACTCACTTCCTGTCATCATGGAGCTTTCTGGAGACAAATATGGAAACAAGTGCACCCAAGTGTGATGGGTACTGTGCCTGTTGCATGTACGGGGTACAGTAAGTGGGGGCACAAAGAAAAGAGCTGGGGGAATACGGAAGAGGCTTCAGAGCAGTGAAGATGTTCTGAAAGCTGAGTGGGCTTTCAACAGCTGGATAAAAGTAGGGGATGGGGAGTAGAAAAGAGCCTTTCAAACAGATGGTATATCGTTGATCCAGGGACAGCGTTGGGAGTCTCGGCGACAGCAGGCTGAAGACATAAAGAGATAGCCTGAGGTCACCCATGTGAGGGCTTTGCCACATGCTCACTGTTCTGTGAACTATGGGAATGGGTAGAGGCACATTCTGGACCCTGAGAACCTCTGTGATGGGGTAAGAACCATCAAGAGCCAAATGGCCCAGCCTCTGTATTTATTAAGCACCTACAGTGTGTTAATTTCTATTCCAGGACACACTGGAGGACAGGAAAGGGAAGAAAGAAGTATAGGACACTCTCCTATACATCTACTTATAATACACATAACACAAATATATACAAGACACAACTCACACTTGTGTATTACACAATTTTCCCACCTACCAGCCCAAATATCTGTACTTCAGAAACTGGCAGAGAATATAACTTTAAACTCCTTATTCCTCAATACTTACAGCACCTAGGTTGTAAGAAATACTTAGGGAGACTGGCTAAAAGCTAAGCAGTACTTCATTCTTCTAGAAGACTTCCCTAAGGTGATCCCACATTGAACCCCAATACAGAAAAGAAAAGAAAAAAAGGAAGAAAAGAAAGGCTGCTCTTTTAAGCAAGTGTAGGTAGGTGTCCTGCTGTGCAGTCACTGAGACACAACTGAGGCACCTGGGTCTCAGTGGAGCACAAGGATCAAGGTGCTTTAACCCTGGAAAAAGCTGCATGCTTAAACCACGTTGTCTCATCCCTCATACAATTACTTTTGCCGTGAATTGTATTTTGGTGACAAAGCATCAGTTTACACTGAGAGAAATTGTAAGACACAGTGTACGATGTTCAGTGTTGTAGTTGCTGTAAGGCATGTTAGATATTAAGGATGTTATCGCATTCAGCATATAGAGTCTGCTCTACAGTTGCCAGTGGAGAGCAGTGTTTCTCTGGAATAATGGGTTTGTTTTCATCTTAAGGACCATCTCTGAACCATGTAACTGATTATGTTTCCCTCTTTGCAATGGTTGCTGGGAAGCTCAAAGCAAATATTTTGGCCCAACTCTTGCACATGCCCAAAAACTTATAAAATATACACTTATCTCACCTCTGACCTCCTCTTATGTTCTCCTACACTTGCTTTCACTTTGCTTCAATTGTCTCACTTATTTTTTTATTGATGTATTGATACTATGATGATTTTTATAGGATACCTCAAATCCTTTGTGGAAGGAGCTGGTTAAAAAAATGATTTCATAAATTTACATTTTATTTATACATTCAAGGACCTCCCTGGTGGCACAGTGGTTAAGAATCCGCCTGCCAATGCAGGGGACATGGGTTCGATCCCTGGTCTGGGAAGATCTCACATGCTGCGGAGCAACTAAGCCCGTGCGCCACAACTATTGAGCCTGCACTCTAGAGCCTGCGAGCCACAACTACTGAGTCTGCGCACCACAACTACTGAAGCCCATGCACCTAGAGCCCATGCTCCACAACAAGAGAATCCACCGCAAGAAGAAGCCTGAGCACCGCAACGAAGAGTAGCCCCTGCTCACCGCAACTAGAGAAAGCCTGTGTGCAGCAACGAAGACCCAACGCAGCCAAAAATAAATAAATCTGTAAAAAATTACTTATACATTCAATGTAACAAAATATACATGTATCATAAATAATGAATACCTAGAATTCACTAGCACAAAGCCCATATGTACATCACACAAATATGAAACAATACACACAGAGCACATATGCACATAATTCACAATCACAGCACATCCTTAACGTCACAAATACAAACACACACTTGTCCTCTCCATTTGCCCCACTCCCGTGCATACACACGTGCCGTGCACATACCCAGCTGCTCTGCGAGGAGCCGGCCCTTCTCGGTGGGAACAACCCTCTCTTCCTCCATGTCACACTTGTTCCCCACCAGGATGACCTGTGCATTGTCCCAGGAGTAGGTCTTGATCTGAGTAGCCCTAAAGAGAGACAGAGAGATGACGGTGTTAACGACATCCTCCTAGGCTAAAAGGACCCTGCAAAGCTCACAGAAGCCCCTTCAGTGGGGTTCGCAACACACGAGATACTGTCAGCTAATTCATCCTAGGACAGTCAGACCTCTGCTCCTGCTGGCTGTCACAGATGCTGACCCTTAAGCCCTGGTTGCAAACTTCACTCAGCTATTTGGATTCCACCTCTAATGCCCTCTCCTCACAGGCAGAGAGCTCTTTCTAAAACATCTATCAGATGATTCGTCCTTTCTTAAAAGCCTTCTCTGGTCCCTGGACTAGCTAAGCGATGAAGTCTAGATCCCTCAGTTAGGCGTTCAAGACCATTTACATCCTGTCTCTCCAGCCTCATCACCCTTCCTCTCACTTCACAAACCTCACCCATTCCCCAAAGGCTCTTCCATGGCATGTGCCTTTGCCTTTACTGGAAATCCCTTCCCCACACTAAGTCATCCTCCAAGGCTCAGGGCTGATCCCACAGTTGCCTGGGGGAGGCTTCTCAAGCTTCCCCTGGCCCAACAAGCCTCTCCCTCCTCCTCTTCACTGAGGCCTTAGATCATTATTATTTGTAGAAACCAAAATGTCAGCAGTGGTTTCCCTCACGTAGGATGATTATGAAATTTTATTCATTTATTTATTTTTGGCTGTGTTGGGTCTTCGTTGCTGCGTGTGGACTTTCTCTAGTTGTGGCGAGCGGGGGCTACTCTTCACTGCTGTGCACGGGCTTCTCATTGTGGTGGCTTCTCTTGTTGTGGAGCATGGGCTCTAGGTGCATGGGCTTCAGTAGTTGTGGCACTCAGGCTCAGTAGTTGTGGCTTGCAGGCTCTAGAGCGCAGGCTCAGTAGTTATGGTGCACGGGCTTAGCTGCTCCGAGGCATGTGGGATCTTCCCAGACTAGGGATCGAACCCGTGTCCCCTGCATTGCCAGGCAGATTCTCAACCACTGTACCACCAGGGAAGTCCCAGAACTTTAAAAAAATGCTTTACCTTTCAAAATTTTGAAAGTGAGCATGTATTACTTTTATAATGAGAAACAAACTTTTAAACAGAGGAAATAAAATCAGACCATTTTATTCAGGAGACATCTTTTTTGTGTAGTTGGCCTAACTCTGTCCCCAAATACCTCATCAGGTAGAAACAATTACCTTCCCTTTTGTTCCCCTACTCTTTTTTGTGGCGCCTGTCACATTCGGCTGAATTTATCTGTCTCTCCTTGAGAGCAGGGACAGGCTTATTCATCTTTGGGGTACCAGCCCCCAGCATAGAGCACAGAGAAAAAAAGTCATTGATTGTCTGATGAAGGAAGAAGCCAGCAAACGATTGATCCTGAAGCAGATCTAAATAAAATCTGACCCTATCCTGACACTGACAATCTAACTTAACCCTAACTGCAACCTGGACCGATAGCCAACCCTGCTCCTAAAGCTCATCTCACCACCAATCTTCTCTTTAAGGGTGAAAAGCCACTTCCTCAAAGGCTAGAATTTACTCAACCACCATTTGTGGTGAACCGACAGAGAGCCAGGTTCTGTGCTGGGTACTGGGGCTTAGATGGCAGGTGGGTGCTAGGCTGGGACCAAGTTTCCCAGAGGCAAAACTAAAGGCCAGAGCTTGGGAAAGATAGACATTCAGTCTTCAGGTTCAAGACAGGTACATGGAGCCAACTCCCCAAGTCTCCCATGCCACTCTTCTGTCATCTTCCTCCCTCCTCCCACCACCATCCAGGCTCAGCTCCCAGATTAGCAACTTAGGTTATTCTTGGAGGAATCTTCACCAGGTGTTAAAGTCACTGTGTGCCTGAGGCAGAATGAACAGCGACTGATGGAGAGAGGGAAGGAGGTCAAGGTCGACAGGGAATGGGCAGTGTGGAGATACTTAAAGAAAGAGCTCATCACTTCGTGGTGGGAGGTGGGGGGGAAAGATGGAGACATGGGAGAAGGGAGGAGAAGAGAAAAATCATGACTGGAGGAGGGAAGAGAGGGAACAAGAAAGGAAAAAAGCAGGAGAAAAAAGAGGCATAAAGAGAGAGGAAGGGAAAAAAGAGGGAGGAAAGGGGAAAAAAGAGGGAGGAAAGGAGAAAAAAGGAAGGTGGAGAGAAGGACTTGTTAAAAGGAAAGGGGGAGAAAGGAGGAAGAAGGGGATGACCAACAGACTAAGAAGGACAACACATGGGTGACAGGCATGTGGGTGGCACCCTAGACTGATGCTGAGAACTCAGGGGGTGGTGGGGAGAATGTGGCAAGCAGCCTGCAAGGCCACTCCCAGCTCAAGGCTCCAAGGCACCAACAGTGCTGCACATAGTCATGACAACTGTTCCTTGGGAGACAGGAAGTCTTCAAAGGGTAGCTGTTGGGCAAAGAAGAGCGGGAGACAAGCTTGGCACTGGCCAGCTCCGCTGCTGTGTGCCCAGCCTACTCAGCCTCTCTGATTGTGAAGAAGAGCCAGGCACACACGCTCCATCTTCCCCATCCTTTCCACTGATTAGGGGCACCGGGTCCTGGCCCTCTGTCTCACGTGCCCTTCCTCTCGTGCTCCCTTCTCCCTGTGAGTAATGCTCCAGGAAGAAAGATGTAAGTTGCTCAGAGGTTATACCTCTGGGGAACTGTGCTGATTTCTATCGTATCAAGATATTGAATCTTTATGAACTTGGACCCCCGGCCCAGGGATAAACTTTATAGGGAAGCAATATGTGGATTCACTTAGCACTATGTCCAGAATGATCTCTCTAAAACACTAATTTGAACCTGTTGTTTCCCTGTTCAAATGTCCTCACCTACCAGATAAAATCCAAATCCCTCACCCCAGCACACAAAATCCTTCATGACCTCTGCTCTTCTTACCCTCTCACTTACCTTCTTATCTTTGCACATCTGTACTATTTTTCTGGAACATTCTTACCCATTTGTCCCTCTGGCTAACTCCTGTTCATCTTTCAAAACGCAGCATATGTGTCAGCAATTCCAGGACAACTTCCCTGACTTCCCAGGCTGGGTCAGAGCCCTCCGCTGGGTTCCCACAGCCCTGGTGCCACTCTCATCACTGCACCTGTCACATGATATTTTCATTGCCTGCTCACTGATCTGTCCTCTCCTCTCATCTGTGAACTTTTTGAGGACAGGAGCCATGTCTGATTCATTCGAGTTTCCCTAGCACATAGCACAGAGCCTAGTACATACAAGGTTTTCATGAACAGTTTGATGAGTGGGTGAAGGAACGAATCTCATACCAGTCTTGGACAGCATTGAAGGATTCCTCATTGGTGACGTCATACATCAGGATGAAGCCCATGGCTCCACGGTAATAGGCTGTGGTGATGGTCCGGTACCGCTCCTGTCCAGCCGTGTCCTGGGTGGGAAAGGGAAAGTGTCAGCCTCCTAGAAAGTCTGCTTTGTTTCTAAAGAGTCCCCAGGACAATTAAAATCATCCAAAGTACATTTAAGGAGCACCTATTATGTATCTTTTATTGTACTTGGTGACTAGAACAAAATGGTTTCTGAAACCTCATAGAAATTAATAAGAAGATAATTAAAATCCCAATAGAAAAATGAGCAGGAGTAAAGAACAAGTCACAGAAGAAATGTAAATGGATAATTATTATATTAATAGGTTTTAACCTTATTTTTAATTATAATTCCCATTATAGTTGAGGATGTAGTGAGATGTATAACCTCATACCTTGCTTGTGGGAATGACACTTGGTTCAATCTTTCTGGTAATCAATTTGGAAGTCCCAAGAGCATTAAAAATAGTTGTACCCTTTGAACTAGAAATTTTTCCTTCTAAAAACTTTTTCTACAAAAATAGAATATCAGACAAATATTTATGCACAACAATGCTTCTTACAACTTTATTTAGACATTGAAAAACTGACATCAACCTATATATTCAACAATAGGAGAATGGTTAAAATACAAGATTTTTAATGTGTTTATTTATATAAGAATATTTATTATAATGGAACAATTCTTGTATGTGCGATATAATGTCAGTTTCATAACTATATATGCAGAGAAGGAAACTGGAAAGAAACACATCAAAAGGTTAATAGTGATTATCTCTGTATGAAAGATAAGAATTACCAGGATTTTCATTTTCTTCAGCTATTTTTATTTTCTCTATGCTAAGCATGTATTACTTATATAAGGAGAAACAAATAAACATTTTTACTAAAAAAAAGACGAAGACAATTCTTTATCTCAAGCAGCTCACAGTCTAGTTGGAAAGACAAACATGTAAACAAGATAAGCCAAGCCCCACAACAAAGTGTTACTGGAGTACACTGGGATGCTTCACAATGTCCACACGGTCCTTATGTGAGGGACCAGCTGGTCTTCTCTGAATCATTGGTTTTAGATGTGTGATACTTGAGCACGTGTAAAACATTTCCTCATATATTATCTTATTTAAATTTTATAATAATCTCTATGAGGTAGGGATCAGTATTTACATTTTGTAGTTGAGAATGCAAAAATGCAGAGAGGGTAAGTGATTTTTCCAAGGCCACAATGCTGGTGACAAAAGCTATGCCTTAAATCTAGGACTTCTGATTCCAAGTCCAATGCACATACCATTATACCTCAATCAGTGAAAGATTTATCCACAGGCATTTACTGAACACTATCCATAATGATAATAAAAACAAATAGGGACTTCCCTGGTGATCCAGTGGGTAAGGTTCCATGCTCTCAATGCAGAGGGCCTGGGTTCGATCCCTGGTCGGGGAACTAGATCCCACATGCATGCTGCAACTAAGAAGTCCACATGCTGCAACTAAGAGTCACACGCTGCAACTAAGAAGTCTGCACACCGCAACTAAGATATCTGCATGCCACAACTAAGAAGCCTGCATGCTGGACTTCTCTGGTGGCACAGTAGTTAAGAATCCGCCTGCCAATGCAGGGGACACGGGTTTGAGCCCTGGTCCAGGAAGATCCCACATGCCGCGAAGCAATGAAGCCCGTGCACCACAACTACTGAGCCTGTGCTCTAGAGCCTGTGAGCCACAGCTACTGAGCCCGTGTGCCACAACTGCTGAAGCCTGTGCACCTAGAGCCTGTGCTCTGCAACAAGAGAAACCACCTCAATGAGAAGCCCATGCACCACAAAGAAGAGTAGCCCCAGCTCACCACAACTAGAGAAAGCCCATGCGCAGCAACGAAGACCCAAAGCAGCCCAAAATAAATTAATTAATTAAAAAATTAAAAATAAGAAGCCTGCATGCCACAACTAAGACCTAGCACGCCTAAATAAATAAATAAATGGTTAAAAAAATAAAAACAAATAATGAGAATAAGAATTATAGCCTGCCATTAATTGTACATATGTTGCACCTGTTATCCACAAACTTTAGAAAAACCCTGTAGGGTACATATCATTACTCCCATTTTACAAAAGGGAAAACTGAAGTTCAGAGAGATTGCCCATCAAATGTAAGATTTGGGATTCAAAACAAGTATGTCTGACTCCTACACCCATTACAGTATATTGCCTTGGCTATGAACCATACTTTGTGTGACACAGAAATGGAACAAGGACCATCCTTGCCCTAAGGAAGCCTCAGTAAAAGTAAAGAGGTGGCTAAGACATACCACTGAACTCATAATAGCAATATGTGGCAGTATGTCAACAGTACCGGGTATGTGGCATAAAGAAAATGTGTTACACGAGTCAGATAAGGTAGAAACATGGTGGTTTTAGGTAGTTATGGAAGATGTCAAAGCAGAGATAGTGTACCAGTTAGGGTAGACCGGGTTATTCAATAATACACAATCTCAAAATCTCAACAGCTTCAAAAACAAGGTTTTATTTTTCACTATTTTTACATATCCATCAAGGGTTGGCTGGGTGCTCTGCTTTTTGTCTTCCTCATTCCAGGATAAAGAGTGACAGGGTGGGGTTTCCCAGGTGGCGCAGTGGTTGAGAGTCCGCCTGCCAATGCAGGGGACACAGGTTCGTGCCCCAGTCTGGGAAGATCCCACATGCTGCGGAGTGGCTGGGCCCGTGAGCCATGGCCGCTGAGTCTGCGCATCTGGAGCCTGTGCTCCGCAACAGTAGAGGCCACAACAGTGAGAGGCCTGCGTACCGAAAAAAAAAAAAGAGTGACAGGGTGGCTACGAAAGGGAAAGAAAGTGTATGAGTCATGTGTTGGCTCTTCCACTTTTCCCATTCACTGGCCAAAGCAAGTCACATGCCCATACCCAAGAAAGCACAATCCTATAATACGCCCAGGAGAGAATGGGAAATGTGGTAGATGGCATAGCCACTCCCATGTACCAAGCCCAGGAGCATTACCTACAGATGTGCTTACTTGGTAACAGAAGGAGACAACAGGGATTCTCCGAAAGAAGAATTTTCCAAGCAGAAAAGTGAAGGAAAGGTATTTTGGCAGAAGGAAGATGTTTTTCCAGTGACTACTCCAGAAGAACTTAAGGAACGGCGGGAAATGAGTAGATGAAGCTAGAAAGAGCTTTGAATGCCATGCTATGGAGTTTGAACTTGATCTTTTTAGGGTCAAAGATTTTGAGACAGGAGATTAACATGATTGGATCTGAACTTTAGAAAGATCACTCTGACTCTGATGTGGAGAATGAACTGGAGGAAGTAGAGATGGGAGGCAGGAAAGCTGGTTGGTTAGATCTTTGCAGTGGTTCAGGGGCGACCTAAGATGGATTTGAACTAGAGTGGTAGCAATGAGGATGGAGTAGAAATAGACTCAAGAGGTATTTAAGAGGTGAATTACAGGGCATGATGACAGATGGGTTTTGTTTCTGGCAGGGCTCAGTTTCTTCATGTCCTGAGCAATTCAGCTCTGACCCAGACTTGCACATTACTCAGCAAAACAAAATCTGCATTTAACACACCCACCATCCTTGGAGAGCATAGGAATCACCATCTGTTTGCTGAGCAGGTTTTTGGGTGTCTTACTCTTTACCTCAAGCAGCCTAACAGAGTATTCCTTCTGACCACATACAGTACTTCTCCCTAAGAGTTCTGGCAAACAGAATTTTATCCAGCTCATGAATGGGTGAGTGGATGAATGAATTAAAGAATGAATGAAGAGATAGATGATTGAGTGAGTGAGTGAGTGAGAGTGAGTGAGTAAACATCTAACACAGGAATCTTAGGCACTAATATTAGAGAAATATTCACTGTCTGCCATATCTCACAAAAGCTCTCTGTGTGTGTGTGTACCTATGAAACACTGCAGCAGAATTTGATCCTCCCCTCCCACACTCTTACCTCTGCTTCCTGAGCTCCTCAGAGCCAACACAACAGATGAGACTCCTCCCTCCAATCTACAGGCTCAGACCTTAAATCTTGTCCTGTAGGGTTTAGAATTAAGCCACCTGTCCAGACTGGTGATCTAAAGGCCCAAGCAGGATTTCTGAGCAACTGCACTGCCAGCAGTTCTCATCTCTTCTCATTCCACCCACATTATACCATTTCTCTATGAGAGTTTCCAGTCTCTTATCTCTGCCTGGAGCCTGGCCCTGTGCCCCAGCTCTTTGACAAAGAATCCTGCCACCCAATTGATGCCCAATTAATTGGAAATCCTGGTATAGAATAATAAATGAGCTTGGACATGGAATCAGTTTCACCTCTGTACTCCCAGGGCCTAGCACAGGGCTGTGCACACAGTAGGGATTCAATCACCACCTTGTTAAACAAAAAGGCCACATAGTTTTAAGGTTAGGAGCACGGTCTCTGGAATTAGACTTCTGGGTGTAAACCCCTGTTTTAGCACTTACTATGTGACAATGGCAGGCAGCCTCTAAAATGGCTCCCAATGATTGCTGTCTCCTGGTATTCATGCTCTTCGGTAATCCCCTCCTGGGGCAATTTTCCTTTCGGGGGGCCTTAGTTTCTTCATTTATAAAACGGGAATAATAACAACACCTATTTCACAAAGTTATCGTGAAGATTAAGAACGTTATTATATCTAAAATGCTTGGAACAGTTCCTGATACAGAGTAAATGTCACTTAGGCATTATTTTTGTACTTCCACAGTCAGCCCCAGGAGCAGGGCCAGCTTCCCAGGGTCTGCCCAACAGGAGTGAATGAGTATCATGCCATGTGCCACTTCCTTCTCATTCAAACCTGCCCAGGTCTGCCTCCACCCAGGGTCTCAATATGATGCTTCCCTCAAGGAGCAGAAAGTGGCCAGACAGAAAGGGAATGGATGAGTTAAGAGTTGAGCAGGCTTTGGACTTCCCTGGTGGCTCAGTGGTTGAGAATCTGCCTACTAATGCAGGGGACACGGGTTCCATCCCTGGTCCGGGAAGATCCCACATGCCACGGAGCAACTAAGCCCATGCGCCACAACTACTGAGCCTGCACTCTAGAG